TCAAGAATTTATGGGGGACACCTTTGCTCCACAGACACTGCCATAGTGCTTGGCGGTCCACAGAGTCAGGCAGCTTTCAGGTCAAGAAAAACAACCATTGTTGGTTACTGGAAGCAGTGTCGCTGTTCCAGAATCTGTCGGAGGGTGAAGATATGATCGATGCAACCTCTTGCAGGACGGAACCCAGCTTTGTTTTCACGGATCTGCCTCTCCGTGTGTTCAGTCAACCTTCGAAGGATAAGGCCAGAGAGCACCTTCGATGCCACAGCTAACAGGCTGATGCCACGGTGGTTTTCACATAGCGTCCGCGTGCCCTTTTTGAAGATGGGGATAACCGTCGACATGCCCCATTCTGCAGGCACTTTCTCTTCGTCCCACATAGTACCAATAAGCTTTGTCAGGTGGGTCACCAGGGAATTTCCACCTTCGTTGAAGAGGGCTGGATAGAGACCATCCGGTCCTGATGCCTTTTCACGTTTCAGTACGGCTAGTTCGTACCCTATTTCTTCTGAAGGGCGATCAAGGTTTACATTCCATTCACCCGTGTGCATCATCTCCATAGGCTGTGTTGCAGGAGGCCAGCTGAACTTCCTTCGTACGTGAGATGACCGTCTACCTAGCAGAGTTCTTTTTGTCTGACTCTGTGTTAAGGGACCGACACTCTATGATCTGGTCGGTAAACCCAGTCGGGTGGATATCTTCCGCTTCCCTTAATAGGGATCCCGGGATCCAGCTCACCAGTGGTGAATAGCGCTGGTAGACATGACTCTGTCACCCAGTTGGGGCTGCAGCATCAAATCTGTTGCCTTCAATGCGTAGCTCTCCAGTAGTTACTGACTCAGCTATCCTCCTTTCACCCATATTTCTGTCCTGCCAGATGTGAGTCATCTGCCTGGTGTATGAGATAATAGGATGCTAACCCTTTCCCACTTTGTCTCTTGTTGCTAGGGGAGACCGCCAAACGTCAACGCTGACAAAACAGCTGGCCAGAGGGGTGACTAGTGGTAATGCTGTGACTAAAAATTCCGGTCAATTTTAGTGGTTTTCGCTATTTCGAATGTTTTAATAATCAAATAGTCGTTCGGCCGTAACACCCTTTCGACGTCTAGTTGCCATGTGCCCCCCAGGCTGGGATACTGCCATGTTATCCAAGCCTAGACGGGAAGTCGAGTTACAGATGTCGAGTCGAATGCTTCTGAACACCTTTACCTTTATGCTTCCCATGTTGCCACACACAATTGTTGCGCACACGTCCTAGCGTTGATGTGTTGGGCATTACGTGTCAATGATCTCATTTCTTCCTTGCATGAAGCGGCTAGCAGAACGTCTCAGAGATTAGTGTCTGTCCACGACCTATAGCATGCTCACAACCCAAACGTCGAGTTTTCGGTACATATGAACTGCTGAGAACTTCGAGCTTTGCGTGATGGAAAACAGTGGGCGGGTATTTTCGTCCGAAGGGCATCGCGAATCCGTTTAGATCGAGTGAACTAGTAAGCGAAATTTTTAGATGTCGGTTCATTGGTGTAATTCATCGTTCTCGTGAGAGGCCTAAGGATGACCCATCCTCCTGAGTTTCACCGTGGTTCAATAATTGTACTGAACGGTTACAGGTGGTTAGTCGAGTCGCTCATTTCTATGCGCAGCCAACAAATCCAGGCATCCATTGGTGGAAATAATAGGACCGTTGTACATGATGGCGGTTATCAGAATGATATTACTAACAGTCTCAGACTATCACTCCTTTACCTCATTTTCATGTTGCAGTTGGTTTTAAACCATGGGAGTTCCAGCTTTCTTTCGATGGCTGAGTATGAAGTATCCGTCGATCGTCAGCCATTGTGTGGAGAAGCGTGGCCCGATTTTAGACAATCACGGCACCCGTGGTCCAGTTGATACCACCGAGCCCAATCCCAACGGCCAAGAGTTTGATAACCTCTACCTGGATATGAATGGCATCATACATCCTTGCACGCATCCGGAGTCGAAACCGGCCCCAAAAAACGAGGCGGAGATGTTTGTGGCTATTTTTGAATATATTGACCGTCTGTTTGCCATTATCCGGCCCAGGCGAATACTTTACATGGCGATTGATGGCGTTGCTCCGCGAGCCAAAATGAACCAGCAACGATCCAGACGGTTCCGCGCAGCTAAAGAAGCCAAGGAAAAACATATGACAATCGAACGTTTGCGTAATGAATTGCAAGCTAGAGGAGCGCACTTACCTCCAGCGAAATCAGAGGAAGAGCATTTCGATTCCAACTGTATCACACCGGGCACACCGTTCATGGCTCGCTTGGCTGTCGCACTGCGTTATTACATTTACGATCGATTGAACAGTGATCCGGGTTGGAAAAACATAATGGTAGGTTTCCACTTTATCTCCGATGGTGTACACAATTGATCCATGAACATGTTACCCACTTATCAGGACAGTGCCGGTCAGATTTGGGTTGAACGCCATGCTGTTCGTGAGTACTCTGGATTATGTATTTAAATGTAATTTTTCGTGTAGCGAACTCAAGAATTAGCGTCTTCTTGGTCTGTGAGCTTGAAGCGCTCATATAACTGAAAAGTCCAGAAGTTCGATGCTAATTTCCGGAGACGTAAGAACGCTGGAACCAAAAGTTCAGAGCTTGCTATTTCAGAATGTTGGAGATTATTCATTTGTGTTCTTGACTGAACAGTACTCTCTGCCGGTCAACCAGCAGTTCCTCCAACAATTCACCAGCTTTGAAGCCCCCGTGGATATGAGGGATAGAAAAGTCGTGCCAGATGTAGCTTCTTCGGTGGGTGTTCTATGAACTATATATTAGAGGCATCCTAGTTGTAGTACTCTTTCTGTGCATATATGTAATCCAAATCGAGGGGACAAGATAGCTCAGTGGTTAAAGCGCGACTTTACTGGCCGGAAGGTCCGTGGTTCGAACCCGACCTTTGCCTTTCGACTTCCCTGTCTAAGCTGGCAGTACCAGACCTCGTGCTTCCTCCAAGTGGCATGGAAGCTGTGCACCAAAAAGGTGTTACGGCTGAATGATTATTCATTAATCGAGGAAAGTATGAGAGCTGGTTTACCATCAGGTTGCACAAGTTGTATTGGGTGGAACCTAATATTCAGTTTTAGCCTCGAACCTCGGATCAGTCATCAGTAGCTTGCACATTGACCACCGAGCCAGTTCGCGCTCACTACAGATACGTTTCCAAGCATACGATTAAAATTCTGCTCTACTGTGTTCATTTTTTCCTTGTATTACAAACTGGTACTATTGTCATTCGTCATAATTCACTCCGGGCAATGATGGTGATGATGATTTTTACGGTTAGTTCTTTTTGCAAAACATTTTACGCGGAATGCGCGTTCGGGCAATGAGGTGATGATGATTTTTACGGTTAGTTCTTTTTGCAAAACATTTTACGCGGAATGCGCGTTCATCACTCCGTAGTCATCTGGAGTAGAATCTGGAGCATTTGATCCTCTTACCCACATGATGTGAATATCCTCATTATTGGTTTCTTGGTTAGGCTTTTTAGGTTGTGATTTATTCGTGCAATAGGTCTCTGGTCTTATGCGTTCACTGATTTTCAACGAGCTTTCGGGTGGTAAGAGTGGGAGTTGGAAATGAACGTTTGGTCGTCTTATTCCATTGTATCCTACAGCGACATGCGGAAATCGGTGGGGCATAGGTTCAGTAAATTTCCTAGCTCAAAGTGCGGTTGTTCTCCCTTTTGATGACTGTTACTCCAGATGTGAAAGTTAGCCGGTTTTCTGTCTTCCCCGTCCGGAGGCATATTGTGCATTTATAACGGACACCTCCCTATCTTCTCCCTCCCGAATCTCGGGAGGACGGAGTTATGCGAAGGTGTTTAATATGACTACAATACTGACTCACACTCGGTTGAGAACCATACGACCAAATGTCTGTGTATTTACCGTTTAATCTCGCTGAGGGTTTGGGCTCTTCACCTGCTCTGACCCGCCCACCTGCCCGTGAATGCTGTGCGCCGAACTATGGCATGAGCTGTACCATGAAATTAGTATAGAGCGGAACATCAGTGTCGCTCTACGTTGGCATAAAAAGCCTGCATGCAAAGCGAAAGTCGGGTTGGGAGTAAACTTATGGCCATAGTGTATATCGCGAACTAAGAAAAACAAATATAGCGCAAAAGACACCGTTTAGTGTATTTCCGTACAGTATTGATCAAGCAGTCAATCATCAGATGGTTGGATTGCATATTCATTGTACTCATGTTTTTTTTTTGTTGCTCGGGTAAGCTTGTTCCTCTTTCGTGCTCCGTTTCTCGTTGACAGGTGTTTCTAAGCGATGCAAACGTTCCTGGCGAAGGCGAACACAAAATCATGGATTTTATCCGTCGCCAGCGTAGTGCTCCAGATCACGATGCGAATACAAGACATTGCCTATGTGGCGCAGATGCTGACCTGATAATGCTGGGACTCGCCACCCACGAACCCTACTTTACCATTATTCGGGAAGAGTTTAAACCTAATCTTTGTTGCTCAGCTTGTTCCTCTTTCGTGCTCCGTTTCTCGTTGACAGGTGTTTCTAAGCGATGCAAACGTTCCTGGCGAAGGCGAACACAAAATCATGGATTTTATCCGTCGCCAGCGTAGTGCTCCAGATCACGATGCGAATACAAGACATTGCCTATGTGGCGCAGATGCTGACCTGATAATGCTGGGACTCGCCACCCACGAACCCTACTTTACCATTATTCGGGAAGAGTTTAAACCTAATCAACCAAAGCCGTGTGACCTCTGTGGCCAAATTGGTCATGAGATGGAGGATTGTGTCGGGGCGCCGAAAGAAGAAGAAGTGGATGGGACCCCACCCCCTCCTGTGTCTGGCGAACCGGTGAGTGACCATTTCGCTGGGACATTTGACGTTATGACACCGTTGGAAGATTCATAGTTGTCATATGGGTAGTGCTAATAATAAAATCTCCTTCGCCCTCGTCGTCCGTCGACGTAAAATCCAACGTGTTCGGGTGAATAACACTACGGAATACCGTCCTGAGCAATGTACGCGGCTCTGATTCACTGTTTCTTAGCCATCTGTGCACTTTCACATATTCCTTTACAACGCCATTCCCGTCTACAAGTTTTTCTTACACAAATAATACCAAAAGTGCTTGTGTGTAGTAAATTAAAGAACAATGAGTCAATAGTGCCTTGTTCGTGTCTTTCAGATGTAATCCGAGAAAACATCGATCTTCAAAAAGAACAGTACTTGCTATTTTGAGGGACATATCAGTTGATGAGTGGCTTGTGGTCATTTTTTCCTCTTAGTTAATTCCGGGAAACGTGGAGGAACCTGAAGAGACACAACATATTCCTGCTAGTCCCCAATTCGACTCGTTTTGTCGAGAACCACTGATACATCCAATAATGTGTAGCTTTTCAGTGAAAGCCGTTCTAATTTCGCCGCACGTTTGAAGCTTTTTAAGTAGGTCCCGAAGTCAGATATACCAGTCACAGTTGGAGACCTAAATGCACGTGTTGGTAAGTTGCCCTCACGTGAACTTGAGTTCTGGTTCCGCATAGTCTCGATGCACAGAGTAATGAAAGCGGTCAAGGGCTGGTAAAACTACGACACCTCAAGCATCCTCACTCCGCAGTTCACAACCGATACAGATCACATTGTCGATAGAGGGGTTCTACACAAATTTGCAGAAATTCAGTGTTGTGGAGTCAGGTGGTCATGCAAATCTACAAGTATACTTTCCGCATTCTGAACGTTTTGCTTCTCTTGGACGAGAAGAACGCCATTGAATGCCATCCTGGGGTCTTTTTATTTTTATTTTAATACCTCGTTTACTAATAAGAGAGAACCAATTTTCTCTGTCCACTAAATCGGTTTTCCAAATTGCATATCATTCACTTGATTTTGACTGATTCGAATGGAAAATGGAAGGTAACCGGAGACTCGGACTTAAAAGTCAGCGGTAGAACAGCTGAGTAACTCAGGCGGACTGGGAAATTAGTCAATGGGTTGTTTTATATGGAATTAGCCGAAATTACAAGTAAAGTAAACAGTGATCAGCAGAAATGAGGAAATTATGGCTGCGTAATCGCATTTATTTTGCTTCACTAAGTATCAAATGGTTTTTCGTGACTACTTCAACTAGAATAAGTTTACCCGTTGATCAGGTACCTTTGGTTCACACTGGTGAACTTCGCACCCTCGCCTGCCTAGCTGCCATGCCACCCGAAGGTTGCACGAGGGCTGGGATACTGCCAGGTTACGCAAGCCTAGACAGGGGAAGTCGAGAGGCAGAGGTCGGGTTCGAACCACGGACCATCCGATCAGTAAATTCGCGCTCTAACCACTTGGACCATCCCGTCCCCCAGTGAACGATGTCCTAGTTTAACCGGACGATACCCTTCTCAAATAGTGTCTGAACCATTCCCAAACATTTGCAGCAATCCACGCAATGGACGAAATGCAGTTCGATTATACTGACACAGCTGGTGGTGGGATGAATGGTCGTCCCGAACAGGCAGCACAAATGACCCTTCTGAGGCATTCTGAATCGCAACCAAACCCCCAAGCTGTCAGCTTTTTTAGGAGCGTTGTTAATCAGAGCACACTGCACATACAGTGAGTATTCCCTCAAACAGTCCGCTCGTTCTGGAACCGACACTGCCCCAACTTCTCTCGTAAGATCTAGTTTGTCATTTGCCGCGCGCTCCTTGTTACGTTACTTTCAGGCTGCATAGTTTAGCTATTTTAATACTGTTTTGATGGAGTTTTAAAGTACGTTTCCAACCAGCGTATACCACTGAAAGAGGTGCGGTCAATTTTTGAAGGGGTTTGCAACTATTTTAACTTGGAAGATTGAAGTAGACTCGGGTTTTATCAGTTCACTTAAATTCGTATGTATATAATAAGCTCGTGACCGGCTTTCACCCCAAACCGTAGAGACATCGTCAGTGCTTTATCCTGTTACCGTGGTTCACAGGTCGAATAAGGCAATCCTTCCAACATGCTCAGTCAATGGCTTCCGTGGTTTGCTTGCCATCAGTACGACAACCCGCTTGTTGTTTTGTCTGGTGCCTTTATCTCATTCTTCTTATAGTGCTTCACTGGGATAGACAAGGTGGATGGTGGATTAGATTGTTCTGGATGTTTTTAACGCGTTTCTAATGCGAAATGAATTTTGTGATTCCCAGAAGATATTCACTTGTGGAAGGTATTTGTCACCACAGTAGCTTTTCTGATGGGTTGATTATGGTAATGTTCAATACGACTCGTGTGATGCTCTCCTACCTCTTAGTACTGAATAATAGTTATAATGATAATAATAATCGTTCGGCTGTAACACCCTTTTACTGCCTGATTATCATGCCATCCGAAGGAAGTACGAGGGCTAAGATACTGCCAGGTTGTCCAAGCATAGACGGGAACGGTTGAGATGCCTGGATTGAGTTCGGACCGCGGACCTTCCGGTCGGTAGGTTCGCGCCTTAACCGCTGAGCCATCTCAAACTCGGCAAACCACCATGGCCGGACACTGAACTCTAAGGAACTCTTCTTGCCGCTTTTTGCAAGACGGGGACGAAACCGTTGACACACAATGCACAACGCGTACGGACGGGGACGCGCACGATCAAACAAGAAACGTTGCCATAAATACCGTGAGAAACCGATGGAGGTAAACGTCTTCGAAGACTTTCGAAGTGGCGAGAAACACTGAATCGATCGGTGGCTTTTAGTCATTACATTTTCACCAGTTATCTCTAGCCAGCAGGTGCTGCACTGGATCGGCCAGCTGCTTTGTCAGTGCGTAGACCTTCAGCTCATTTTTGGCGACGTTCTTCAGGACTTCGTCAGAAACGTTCTGGCGGCTTCTTGGGCGATTATGACCCTTCTTTTATGAGAAAGCTTCACTACCCTTCTCACCTCCGACAGATGACTGGCATCCAGCAAGACAGAAACAGATGTAAAGATGGCCTGCTCCGTCAACACTGGTCATAGAAGACGCACCATTGGCTGCGTAATTGAGCCATGCCGGCAAGTGTTACTAGCCATTGATGAGTTGAGCACCGGGGTCCCCCTCAGGGGGGGAGACGGCGGTTGTAAACTGTCTCGAGCTCAGCGGTGTCATCTTCGGAGCACCTGTTGGTTGTGCCTTGGTCACCGACTTCATTGCTTATTTTCACCGATGTAATCGCGACATTTGGGCATGACTGGCTCCATTGTGTCAATATGGGTTTCTCTCTACCAACCCGTCAACAAATCCCCCAAAGCAATTTCCCATGAAGCTCATATTTTCTTGGGTTAATGTGGGGACGATCATGCGGGCCGATCTTTGACCGTCACTTCGCTCCATAGGCGGTCGGCACTCAGTATTGACCGATCTCGGTCAGTCCCAGCATCGGGTCAACACCTGTATCGTGGAGACAGATTTACCCCGAGGTCACCCTAACGATAGTGGATCTACATAAACGTTTCTCACGTGAGAAACTCTCCGTTTGAAGCCCATCTTAACCTTATTCGAGGTAGTGCTCTAAGCTTCTCGTCTAAGTTTCGACTCCCCTCCACTTAGGGAAACCGTTTCGGAGAAATGGGCGCTGTGGTGGGCAGTGTAACCCAGCACTCGTTCACGAATTAAAACTTGTCGCAGTAAAAAAAATTCCCGGTCACCCTTCGGTTTCAGTTGAACA